ACATAGGGAAACAGTTATTAATAATCTAAATAGATCTACCCTTCTCTATCTCACTGGGTCTATTTTGAGTTTTTATTCATCATTGTTCAGTTTGTATTATATATTTCAATAGTGTGACTAAATCTTTGGCTATTTAAGGGTAAGTTTTTCAAGCAAGCATTGTACACCCATTGCTTTTTTAATATTATGAACAGTTGGTCTCCATATATAGTACAGGTAGCATTCATTTTGTCTTAATCATTTTCTTGACCCTGAAACACTATACCTGATACCCACAACTTACAAAGGAAGAAAGGTTTATTTTGCTTCACAGTTTGTAGAGATTTGAGTCTATAGTCCAGTGGCTCCAAGGCAGGACAGCATAGCAGAGGGTCAGATCAGAGGAAAGCTGCTCAGGTATGGTGGACAGGAAGCTAAGAGTGAAAAGAGAGGAGTTGGAGATTGGATGAACCCTTCCCAGTGACCCTCCTCTTCCATCCAGACTCCATCTCCCAACAGCAAGTAAGGTGTAAGCCCCTATAATCCAATCACCTTAAAAAAGCCCTGCCTTGGGCCAAAGATTTAGCTCAGTGGTTTCGCTGCCTGCTGCGCAAGCGCAAGGACCTGAGTTTGATCCCCGGTACCAAAAAAAAAAAAAAAAAAGCCCTGCCTATGAGTTCATGAGGCTCTTTGGGAACATCTAGATATACACCACAACATTCCATCCCAGGCCCCTCAAAGAGCCATCTCTAAGAGTTTCCAAAGTCCTAACAGTTTCAGCATTTCCTCTGAGATTTAAGAGAAACTCTTAAGCCCCTGTTAAAATCAAAAGAAAGTTATATACTTCTAAGATACAATGGTACAGGATTAATATTCCCATTCCAAAAAGGAGGAATAGAGGAACAAAAACCAGAGGGACCAGTGCAAGACCAAAACCCAGAAGGGCAAACATATTCCATACTTCCTTGTCCAGCACCCATGGCAAGCTGTTGTGAGATTTGAACTCCAAAGGCTTGGGTGGCCCCATCCTATGGCATTTGCAGCAGTTGTAACCCTCTTGGCTTCTCTCTAAGGGTGGCTTTGCTCACTCCTCACAGCTTTTGATAGCAGACATTGCATGTTTCTGGCATCTCCAGCTTCCTCGGATTTCCACTTCACTTTGACTTCACTCTCACAACTTTACAATCTGCCCACTCAGGGGTACACAGCCTAGATTCCAGGCCTTCTAGAATCTGGATGAATGCCTTCCTGACCCCACAATTCTTGCATTCTGCATGCACATAAAAACCAGCACCTCATGGATGATGCCAAGGTCCACTATCTGGTGGAGTAGTAGCTGGGCCCCTTTGTATCATGCTAGTGGTTACAGAGACCAGTCCCTGGATAGCTGGGTATGGTAAACTGAATCCCAGGGAATTAATTCCCTAGGCACCCCATCTCCAACAGAGTATCTAGGACTTCTTCTCACAGCAGTCTTCCACTTTTACAGGGCAAAAGGAGGGATCTTGCTTTTTTCCTAACATTCCCTCAAACCATTTTTCTTAGTTTCTTGATCTGAAGTATGCACTTCAGTTCTTTGTAGTGCTACTCTTTTCAGCAACCAAGCTCTCCTCTGTTTCACCTGTGCAGGCCCCAAGTTTACCAGTATAAACTTTCTTTGCTCATTCTATATGTACTTCAAATTATTTTCATAACTTTTTTTCAGCCTAGAAATGCAGCATTTCCTTTTTATCTTGCAAAACAATCTCTCCTTCAAAGACATTTAAATTACTGAATTACCAAATTTTAAAATGTGAAAAATAGTGTAATAAAAGATTGTCATGTTTAGTTAATGGAGCAAAGATGTAGTTGTTTCCTGTTCAGGGACTGAAAGACTGTTTTTCCTCATGCTGACCAAATTTGAGATTTGTTCAGACAGTTTCAAAAAATAGGAAGTAATTGTGTTTATCTGAGACATACATAATAAGAGTCTTAGCTTACTGATGAGTGCCAAAACGAGTTATTATATGTGAGAGATTGGGAAATGTACTTCAACACCGATTCAATGAAAGGCAAAAGTTTAAAGTCTGGTTTAGTAGAAAAGTAATGCTTCCTTGATCAAGTAGGTTCGTTATAGGCAAAGAAATAGAGTTAAGCAAGAAGGAAATGACTTTAGGTTTTGAAATAAAAAGTTTATAATTATGTTGAGATCCCTGGCCTGCTGTCCATCTAGATCAGATCCTTGAAATGTGTCTGGTCTGAATTGATGTGTGTTGTAAGTGTAAAATACCAGATTTTGAAGGCTTAATACAAAAAAAGAACGTAAAATATCACATTAATATTTTTATATTATTTTGTGTTGAAATAATAATACTTTGGATATAATGTAAGATTTTCTTTTTACTTTTTTTTAAATGTAGCTGCTATGAAACTTTAAACTGCTTATATGTATTTCCTTATATTTCTTTTGGACAGCACTAATCTACATGGAGATTTATAACAGATAGTTAGGAATGCAGGACCAAAATCAAAGCAAAACATCTAAATTTAGAAATCTACATAAGGAGTGATAGTTCATATTGTAAAGTTAGATAAAAATGGCAATTTACAGGGTAGAGAGGTGAGAAAAATGTCAACAATTTAAAGATTGGAAGAGAAAGAGTAACCAGGAGAAAAATAATTAGAAAATCGTTACTTCAAAGCTCTATGTAAGTCTGATTAGGATAGAATTTCAGGAAGGAAGGAGTAGTTAACATCACTGAATGATAGGCTGACAAGACCTGAGAAAAAGCTATTGAATTTAGTTGATAGAGAACAGTTTCAGTAGTGTGTAAAAAGGATAGATTGCAAGAGATTATGAAGTAGACTGTATATATAAACTATTCTTTCAGGAATGGAATCCTTTTGTGAAGACAGTAATCACTTGATTCAAGTACAGTCCAGAGAAATTTAAGCATATTTGTTTGCTGAATAAAAGGATCAGTGAAGTAAGAGTGCTTGAAATCATGTAAAAAATAGAAGATACTTTCCATACTAAAGTCCTAACCAGAGAGTATACTGAAATCACCAGGGAACTTGTTACAAAGGCAGATCCCCAGGCAACATCTCACATCTAAAGTTACCCTTTTCTCTGGAGACTTGTCTCCTGGAACAGGTCCCATGTTGGGATGGGGATAGGGGAACAACACATAAACCATATCCACAATTCCTTTTAAGTTACCATAATGTAGCCACAGGGTAAAACAAGTCAAAAGAAATTAAGAATGCTAATGAGGACATTAGTGAAAAGACTAACCATAATAACATCCGGAATGGATATAAAGCCAATGAGGATTGCAATAGGACTTGTGGACCATGAACTATAGTTAAGGAGTTGCATTTCATTATTATAAGAGTGTGTACAAGTTCAGTAGGAATGAAAGACTGAATAAAAAAAGCAGTAGATTTTGATCAGAGGTAGTATTTTCAGAATTCAGGATCTTAAAGACCAAACACACAGAGAATGTGGCTCGATGAATCTGATGTGGATAGAAAGAACTAAGTCATTCATACTATAAGGCCTATCAATTGGCTAAATCTAATACAGCACAATGAGTGGTTTAAAAAAAGAAAAAGGTCTGGAATTTAGGATCAGGAGGAAGCACTAAAGTTGAAACTATCAGTATGGAACCATGAAGATTTAAGATTCCACTAAGCCTTGGCTTGAATAACTTTGGAGATCATTTCCAGGATGGGACACCTGCTTGAGCATTTAGTCTTCTCTAAATATCTTTGATTGAGTCTAACTTGCAGACAATACAGGTAGAAAGTTTACTTAACAAAGATAAAACATGCATATCTTTGACTAGTCACAAGTGTCCCTGAGGATTTATATTTGTATTAATCAGTTCTTTGTTACTATAATGAAGTTTCTGAGATAGGTCAACTTGATCGAGAGAGACAGACAGACAGAGAAAAATTGATTTCACTCACAGTGTTGGATGCTAAAAGTCCAAACAACTTAAGCAGGACTGGCAAACTTTCCTTGACCTTGGCTGTGTCACCTCATGGCAGATGACCATTGTAGGAGTACAGGAAAGGGAAGGATTACATCTTAAAACAGGAAGCCAGGTAGAAACCGAGGTGCCACAATCCTTTCCAAAGTCACACCCTCCAGTTGACTTAAGGACCTCCCACTGGGCACTATCTCCTAAAGATTCTATCACCCCAGTACCACCATCCTGGGGACTAAGCCTCCAGCACATGAACTTGAGGATGTAGTGGTGGGGGCACTGAAACCATATCTAAACCATAGCAGGGTTCATGACAAGAGTACTTCATAATTTTTTCCAAGAAATAAATTTGAATCTCTTGCCCTAAAAAGTCACTTCTTGTGAAATCACTTCGTGTGAAAAGTCACTTCACGATGTCTCATGTTTACCTTTAACACATAATACAGTATATTAATCATCAGAATATTTTGGCCTGGTAGGTTCCACAGAGGAGAAAATTATATGCCAAATTGTGGTATTAGATGAGTTTAAAGTGAATTTGGATAAGCAAATGAGTTTTAAAAGATTTTAGTAGTGCACCTAGCATATAATAATTGCTTAATAGATGGTAATTAATGGTGCCATTTTAAGCATTCAACAAGTTTTGAAGTCAGTGTTTTGAATATCCAGGTTTAATAAATAGTACTTAATTAAAATTTTTGTTTTTACTCCAGGTTTTCATTAATTATTAATTAAAACTTGAATATTAAATTTGTAGTGAATTAGAAAAACAGTGGGTCACTTATCACTTCGTTTGCTATACTTGAAAGGGAAAATATTTTATAGTAACTCACACTGCTACTGTGAAAAATTACAACTTTTAAAATATCCTTTAGCTATGTTTCCATAATACAAATATATGTACACTGAAACAAAATGAATGAGTTATATTATTTACTTTATCTTGCTTGGATTGATTGTGCCTGAAAGTCGATAATTCTTTTGTATGCTAAACAACTTTTACTGTCAGTATGTTATATATTTATATAACTACTATTTCTTGCTTTATAGTGAAGAGCTCAGAAAAGAATCAAGACAATTAAAGCGGGAACTCTTAGCAGCAAAACAAAAAAAATTAGAAAATGCAACAAAAGCAGAGAAAAAAAATGAAGGTAAGGGTATTTTTCAGGCTTACATTTTCTCTTAATATTCCTCCTGTTTTTCTATCCCATCTCTCCTGTCTCCTCCTCCCTTTCTGCTTCATTTTCCTTCTCCTTTCCTTTTCTCCACAGTCCTTCTTTAGTTTTTTGTTTGTTCATTTGTTTGTTTTTATCATTTTCAAACTTGCTTGGGACACCCAGTAAAATAAATTTCCATGCAAGGCATTTTTCTGAGAAATAAGTTCAATACAAATGTGATCATAACTATCACTATTTATTTATTTATTTAAGTACTGGGGATCGAACTCAGGACCTTGCGCTTACAAGGCAGGTGGCGGAATCACTGAGCTAAATCCCTGCCAACTATTGCTCTTAAGTAGGCTTAATGGAAACCAACAGAGTACTGAAGACCAGGCAAAACCTAATGTTGTTATAGCTTATAACATAACTGGATCAAAAGTACACAAGATTGGAATGGTTTTTCTTTTTTAAATATTGCATTCTCTTAACAACATGTATGAAAAGTATTTGTGATCTATGACTGAGACTTGTATAAATATTTGTTTGTTGTTTTGAATAGTATTAGATTCCTGCCTTTATTTTTTGGTATTTTTACTCTTGTGTTAAAACATAGAAAATCTAAAATATTGATAAAATTGATTTTGCTATTTATACACATTAAATGTTTTGTGATTCACTGTGATTTTTTTTAATTTTTAATTTTATTTGTACATGTTTACAATACATGGTGATTACATTCTCACTGTGATTTTTATTAAGCTAAAATAGCTTCCAAAAAAAGCCATTTCATTTCATTAAGTTTTTAATTCACTTTAAGACTTATAACTATAAAGCATGTAGTGTTCAGTTTCCAAAAGTACAACTTAGAACCCTTAAAGCTGTTCTCTTTTTATAATAATAGATTACAATTCTATAATAATAGATTATAATTTAACATAATTGGAAATTTTATTCATTTGCCTCTGATAATGTATGCTAAATTAGACTTAACAAATTTGTTTACTTCTAGCAAGCTCGAAGTATTTTTATCTACAAGACTCTGTGACAGTAACTGGAGATACATTAAAAAATATGCAGCATCTAGACTTGAAACATTTTCTGATACAGAGTAGCAAGGTAATATTTGGCCAACATATTATTATTGCTTTAAATAGCACACATAATACCACATAACTGTTTAAAGAACTATAGTTCATAGATTATTTTTTGAAATTGTGTTTCTTAGATTATTTGTACTGTATCCTCAATGACTATTTTAGTAAAAGCAAGTACTTAATGAGTAATTATAAGTCAATGAAATATATATTTTAATGAAAGTAATTGCTAAAAGTTATCTTACCCATAATGACACAAATTAGGAACTGAATTTAAAAGAAAGAATAAATTTATTAATAACTAGATCATGTCCTATATAAAATATAACCCAGAATAGAAACAAGCTGTATTAGAAGATTTGAAAGAAGTAGTGAGAATTATTTTATTTCTTAATTTATACCTAATTTTCCCAGTGGACTTTTTTCTTGTAATTAAAACCATGTTAAATACATGAATTCCATTCAAGTAGAAAAGTCTTTTACTTAAGGTCTTTTATTTTATTAATTTTTTTAGCTAATTATGAATACTTCCATGTCTCAAGAACTATACTTGACTAGGTATATGAAATCAGCAGCGACTGAATAGCTCTTGTCTCTGTAGTTCATGATCTAGTAGGAGTAAGAAAAATGCAATTGATAATTACTATAATAATAGCACTGCAGAGCAAAGATCTATATTAGACATAAACTGTATATGTTTATCTGCCTTTGAGATATTAAAATATAATTAGATGAAGAAAGGTTTGAGTCCTAAAAGACTGACTGATTTCTTAACACTAAAGAGAAGATTCTATCAGGGCTTATTTAGTGTACATATATGAAAGAAACCATGTTAAAAACTTTTTTATGTAGTCAGGTGTGGTGGCAGACGCCTGTAATCCCAGCACTCAGGAGGCTGAGGCAAGAGGATTGCCGAAAATTCGAGGCCAGCCTGAACTACACAGTGAGTTCAAGGCCAGCCTGAATTACATGTGAGACTGTATCTCAAAAGACAAAAACAAAAACAAAAAATTTATGTCATCATTAGAAAGGCAGTATATTAATAATTATTTTTCTGGATTTAAACTGAATTTGAATAACAGATAAAACTGGCTTCCAAAAAAATGGAGTCATTTGATTGCTTTCACTTTGTTTCTTTGTTGTCATAATGAACCATTTTATTTCTTTTCTATTATTTTATTTTGGAAATAATTTTGTACTTATGCAGAAGTTGCAAAGAATAATTGATTTCCCATGTACCTTTAACATCATGATCTTTTATAACCAAGGTACAATGATCAAAACCAAGCAATTAGTGTTAGTACAATACTGTTAACTAACTACAGACCTTATTAGAATTTCATCATTTTCCACAGTTACCCATTTTCTGTTCTGTCCTGTTATATAGGATTCTATATTGCATTTTAATGATCATATCTCCTTAGTGTCCCATGATCTGTGACTGTTTCTGTCATTCCTTATCTTTTGTGACATTTACACTTTGAAAAGTCCTGATTAGATATTTTGTAGAATGTCTCTCAATTTGAGTTTGATGATTTCTCATAACTGAAATAAGGTTATGCATTTTTTGACAAGATTACCTCAACAATAATATCTCTTATCAGCACATTGTGTCCAGAATAATACGGCTGTTGTCTTATTATTGGTGATACTGCTTTGGTTGGATAAAGGGTGCCTGTCTGGTTGTTATACTATACAGTTACTCTTTCTTTCTTTGAGATTTAGAAGTATTCAGGGGCAGACACTTTTAAATATACAAATATCCTGTTTCTCTTCAGGCTATTCCCCACTAATTTTAGCATCCATTGGTAGATGGTAAATGGTAGATCTTGCCTGTAGGCACAGTTATTTACTGTGATCTTATGTTGGTGACATTATTTTTCCCTGATTCTTACTATTTTTAGTGCTTGGAATTGTGCTGTGAGAAAAGCTTTCTCTTTTATCCTTTATATTTATTTCAGTAGGGGCTTGTGAATATATTATTCCATGTGTTACAATCTCAAATTATCTTTTATTTGTTCAAATTTTTCCAGCTTTGGCCATATCCAGCTTTTTTAGGAAAGCTCCTGTTTCCCTTCAACTTGCCCCCCTTCCTGTGAGCACTTTCTTGCTTTCTGACATCACAGACCAGTCTTATATTTTCCCTTCTCCAGGCAAGGAATCATCTACTTCTCCAAGGAACACTGGTTCCTCTTGTTTGAATAATGTGTTTAGAATCCAAGAGCTGGACACTAAATGAACCATTTTATTTTGATTCTGGTATTTTTAGAGTGCTATTAGGAGCCATGTTTTATTATCACTGTCTTGTTAGAAGGCTTAACCAAATTCTTTCAGAACCTGTTTATGATACACATTATGGATTACCTTTTTCTTGCGATCATATTTTTCTCTAAACTTACTTTGATCTTTTAAAATTGGTAACAATTACTGATAAAAATTGTTCATAATGAAAGATTTGTGAATTTCAGTAATACTACCTTATATTTGAAATCAAGGGCCGGGGATTTAGCTCAGTGGTTCTGCTGCCTGCCTCTCAAGCACAAGGTCCCAAGTTCGATCCCCTGTACCAAAAAAAAAAAAAAAAGAAAATCAAATGTTGCTATGCAGTTTTTAAGTCTGGCAGTATTTCTTTCCCTGTGAAAACGATATCATGAGCAATCTCACAACATAATGTTATAGAAATAAAGTACACTTTTAAGCATCTTTCAGCATATTTCAGGACTTAGCCTGTCTTCCCAGCTGACAGATACTCCAAGGTTAGAACTACGTGAACTCTGGAAATAGATCCAGAAGTTCTCATGTGTATTTGTATAGTAAGATCCCCACATGAAAAGAAATTGGAAAGTGTTATTTGACCTTGGCCCTGTAACTTCATGCATTAGTGGAACGGAGTACTTTCACGGATCTACTCAGGAAAAATTTCTTGATTGGGCTAAATGGCTACATATCTGGCTTTTATAAAGCATTTTATTTTAGTCTTAGACTAAATAATCTGAGTATTTTGGGAAACTCTGTATTATTTGGTCTTTTATGCTATATCTAGCAGTTTAATTTTCCTGTAAACTTAGAAGCCGATAATATTCTTAAAGCCTTTTGGATAATTTGGAATAGCAAATTGTGTAATACAGACCCATCTTCTGTGTGCATTTTCACCAGAAACCTGTGCTATACCTACTAGTAGAAAGATACTTTAAAAAATTAAATTTTGTATTTTTATAGTAATTCTGATGGTAATGCTAGGGGCTTGTTACATGTAGCACTAATGGTTATTATGAATTTTTTGGAATATTGTACCTTCTCTAAAAATAAATAGGGAAGAATAAATCTCTCAGTTACTTTTACTAGCAGTGAAGTTATGTAAGCTTTAATGACTCAGTTTTCTTATCATAAATCCAGGGATAAAAACATCTTCTGCAACCCTCAGGCTTCTTATAAGAAGTAAATTAAATAATGGGAAACATTTTAATAAATTTACACTATAAAAACATCATAATTTTAAATTTGTAAAAAGAAAAATATAACTAATCCTTGTTCTTTTTTGTTTCCTATCCAAATCCTACAAACTGAAAATAGGAATTTTAATGTTATTATTAATAAATTTACTACTGTTAATCATAGTTAAAGTCTGTAATCAGTATAGTCACATATAAATATGACAGTTAAAATCTCAAAACAAACTTTCTTTTTGTGTTTTTTATAGTTATATTTCCATAATGATATTCTTTGTTAAAAGGACTGTGTATGTGTGTGTGAAGTTCTGTACATTCTTAATAAGCAAAACTTCCACTGATATTATTTCCTGGTTTTATTAATCTATCTGGCAAGTCTTAATATTTGTTGATTATTGCCACTTCATTTTAGAATTTAGTGTATTTCATGCTTAGATCAAAAGCACTT